CCCCGAAAGCCAGTTTCTAATTTCAGTATAGAGTTTAATCCAGTTATTCAGCCAATTATTTCTCTGAGTTGGCGTTTAAGAGGGAACACACAGGATAATCGAATCCCAGGAAAATGCAGTTTTTCAGATGATACTGGTAATCTGCTGATTTGGGAATCACTAATATAGTGTGCATCTGATTCATTTAATGCTGTAATTTTGGGTCAGGAAGACATTTTACAGCAACTAAGTCACACCAGCTAGGGCAGACTGACACAATATTAAGAAATACACTTATGCAAAAAGCACTTCTCATATCAAAGTTAATAATACAATAATACACCTTCAGAGTTGAAAAATGTTACTAATGTTGTGGCCCCACCCCATAACAAAGAAACATAATTTCCGGAGGAGGAGGCCCAGAAATCAGGATTTTAACAAGATTCCCAGGTGATTCTAATGTGCAGCCAAGGTTGAGAACCACTGTTTTACAGAATGCTTTTTCTCTTAATGATAGAAACAAGTTTTTTAAAAGTGTTTTTATTGATTTCTGAGAGGAAGAGGGAGATAGAAACATCAATGATGAGATAGAATCATTGATTGAATGGCCTCCTGCACACCCCCTACTGGGGATGGAGCCAGTAACCTGGGCATGTGGTTTAATGTGTGGTTCCTCTAGCTGCCATCTAAACTCAAGAGGAAAAAAAAGCTTTGGGAAACCAACACTAAAACATGTATTACAGTTAATCTTTATTTTTTTTTAATTCCCTCCCATCCGGCCTATAACCAAAATCAAACCTGGGACCATGCAGTCTGCAGGCCTTCGCTTTATCCACGGAGCCAAACCAGATAGGGACAGAGTCGTTTTTTGTTTTTTTAAAAATTTGTTTATTGATTTCAGAGAGGAAGACAGAAGGAGACAGAAACATCAATGATGAGAATCACTGCCTCCTGCACGTCCCCTACTAGGGATCCAGTGGAAACCCAGGCATCTGCCTTGACTCATAGGTCCATGCTCAACTACTGAGCAACACCAGCTGGGCCAGAATGTTTTTCTAGAAGAAAAATAGTTTTACAATTTATGTTGACAATTTCCAAGAATATGCTGTGGCAAAAAGAACAAAATTACAAATAAATGATTTATCAAAAGAAATGAAGTAACACTATAAATATTCCAAAGAAGTGTTTAGTATACAAATGTAGGCAAATCTCTGCATTTTTACTGATCTGAAGAACAGATTTCAAATGCTATTACACCTGCAGCTCATCTTCTCAAGTTGTTCAGTCTTTTAAAGAATGCTGAAAACACTACATTGTCTATAAAAATGATCAACAGCTCCAAATTAATAAAGAGCTCAAATTAGAATTTACAAAAGATGGAATGGGATGAATAAAAAGTGGCAGTTTTGTTTTTTAATTGAAAAGCAAAATTTGTTTTTAATCTATAAAAGTTATGCATGATAAATACAAAAGAAAAAAGTCACAATTCTTCTAAATATGTTTTTCTTCAAGGCTGAGGTGCATTTAAGTCTCTTTAAAGATGTAGATGGGGTGGGGAATTGAGATGTTGGTCAAAGGGTACAAATTTATAGGTAGAATTTGAGTAAGTTTTGGATATATAATGCATAGCATTGTGATTTTAGTTAACACTACTGTATTATATACTTCAAGGTTGCTAAGATACTAGATCCTAAATGTTTTCACCAGAAAAAAATAATTATGTGACACGATGGAGATGTTAGCTAAAGCCATGGTCAATTCAACATACTGTACATCTTAAACTTATACAATATTATGTATCAATTTTATCACAATAAAAAAAAGTTTGTAGTGAGATAAATCTAAAATAAGAATTATTTGAATAAAATACAACTGGCAGCCATAAAAATAAAGATGTGGATATCCTTTTCTAATTTTTCTAGTATTTTGGTTGACAAAGAAATGCATGAAGGTATTCCAAATGAGAGTTGGGACTTCTAGGGATGTAGAAAAAATGTCCACATTGAGCGGAAAGCTGGATTAGATGTCTTTCCAGACCTTTGCAAAGCTAAGATCTTCAGATTTTTTTTGAGGATGCCAGTCACTTTAATGATCATATTTAAAGCAATAGATTCCATATCATAGTGTTAAGCTTTTAAAAAAAGCTGTGTATGATAGTTATAAAAACACCGAAAAACACACATTTCACCTGAAATTTACTATTTAAATGACATCAAAGACAGAAACAAGTAATGCCAAAACAGAATTCTTATTAGATCATGGTGAGATTCTTCTCAAGCTGCAGAACAGTTTCCTTAAAGGCAGAATCCTCTGCCCAATTAACTTTACTCCCCAAAATGAGGTTCTGTAATACAAAAAAAAAAATTTTTTTTTTAAGTTTTAAGCATTTTTTAACTTTATTTTTATTGTTGACAGTTACAGATGTCCCTATTTCTCCCCAATTTACCCACCTCCACCCATCCCATGCCCTCCTCGTTCCCTCTGGCCATCACCACACTGCTGTCTATGTCTATGGTTATGTATATACTAGTAGCCCTGCGCACGAATCCATGTGCCAGTAGCTCCCTGCCGCCCTCCAGTAGCTCTCTGCCTGCTGCCCTGCCCTCCTATAGCTCTCGGCTGCCTGCTTGTAGCCAGTAGCTTGCTGCCGCCCTCCTGTAGCTCTCCACCACCCCACCTTCCTGCTGATCCGTGATCCAGTTGTTATGCAGTCGGCCGTTATGCTTCACGGCGTAACGACCATTTGCATATTACATCTTTATTATATAGGATAGTCTTTGTACTTTTAAAATTTTAACAAGCTTTCCCCAGCTGGTATGGCTAAGTGGTTGAGCACTGACCCATGAATGACCTATGAACCAGGAAGTCAGGGTTCAATTCCTGATTGTGGCACATGCCTGGATTTCGGGCTCCATCCCCAGTGGAGGTGTGTAGGAGGGAGCCAATCAGTGATTCTCTCTCATCATTGATGTTTCTAACTCTCCTCTCCCTTCCTCTTTCTGAAATCAATAAAAAAATATTTTTAAAAATTTAACAAGCTTTTAAAAAAATCCTCTTTCACTGACCTTATTACATAATTACCGAACTGGGTATGAAAATTTACTCTCTGATCATGAGAAAAACTAGTAATAAATTTTGTGATTTTTTTTTTTTTTACTTTAGAGCGAGAGGTGGGGAGAGAGAAACACTGATGTGTGAGTGGAACATTGATCAGCTGCCTCCTGCAGGACTCCTACCAGGGATCAAGCCAAAACCTGGGCATGTGTCCTGCCTGGGAATCGAACCAGCAACCTTTTTCATGCATGGGACCATGCCCAACCAACTGAGCCACCCCCAGGGCAAGTAATACATTCTTGTATCCTCATTTCCACTTTCAGCAAGGCTTCAACCTTGCTTCCCATAATGCCAGGAGAATTTACAATGCTAACAATTTTTATGCTTTATCCATTTTTGTGGATAGTTTTACCTATTAAAGATACTTGCAATGGCAGCCTACATTATGGGAAAAAGATAACAGCTGTGGTTCAGAGTTCACTTTGTACTTCTAGGACAGTGGTTCTCAACCTTGGCTGCACATTAGAATCACCTGGGAATCTTTTTAAAATCCTAATTTCTGGGCCTCATCCTCCAGAAATTCTGTTTTTCTTTGTTATTAATGTTGTGGCCCCACCCCATAACAAAGAAACAGAATTTCCGGAGGATGAGGCCCAGAAATCAGGATTTTAAAAAGATTCCCAGGTGATTCTAATGTGCAGCCAAGGTTGAGAACCACTGTTCTAGGACGAACAACAATTTAAGCCTAAGTAATATGTCCTGTTTTTAAAAAAAGGTAAAAGAAGAGCTTAGTTCTTAGTCCTTGCAAACTTTCAAGACCCTGAAAAAGGTGAAGAACATTTTCTTGTGGTAGACAATGGAGGAATGATTAAGGTCATAATCAATGAAAATTCTGGTCATTATTCTTTGAAAACCCATAGCTCAATGATACTGAGTTACTAATTGAAATATTGTTAAAATCAATTTTAAAGAATAAGTGGTATATTATTACATATAAAAATATATAAAACTTTGGCCTATATAAGGCAAATTCTTGCTACAAATGAATAAAAGAGCTTGTGTATATAAATTCAGTCAAATTTACTAAGGCAGTTGGAAGTAAGCTTTCAAACATGATAACCCCCGAAGGCTGATCTTCCTTTTGGAACAAAGAGAGCTCCCAAGTTGGTCAAATCTATGTTCTATTAAACATTGCAATGAATTCATTAAACCAAGATTAACACCAATTTTGAGAATATAAAAATTAAGAAATGCAGAATAACAGAAGTCGCAAAGCAGTAGGAAGGAATATGTGCCAAAGAAAATGAAAATGATTCTTTACTTATGCAATCTTCTACTTGAGGTTAGCCTAAGGGATTTGATTATTTCTAATAGAATCATCCACTGCTACTAAAAAGTAGGTGTAAGACCTGGGGAAGAACCCTCGCAGGTTTGGTTCAGTGGGTAGAATGTTACCCTGTGGACTGAAGGGTCCCGGGTTCAATTCCGGTCAAGGGCATGTACCTTGGTTGCAGGCTCAATCCCTGACCCTGATCAAGGTGTGCATGGGAGGCAATCAATCGGTGTGTCTCTCTGTCTCTCCCCATCCCTTCCATTCTCTCTAAAAATCAATGGAAAAATAGCCTCTGGTGAGGGTTAACCAAAAAAAAAAAAGACCCGGGGAAGAATTTCTTATGGTGAGACATTAAAACCTCATTTTCTACAAGGACATGCTTTACACATAATATGCACTTGTTTCACATTTAATAGGTTAAACTATGCATCTTCATAATTCAAAACTGGTAATTTACGTATTTCAACAGTTCCAGAGACATTTTATAATTCAAAAAGTAGTTTAAAAAACCCCTCCAGAATAAAGAAATAGGACACTTACGATTTAAAACTTGACATGATAACAAGTACCTACATTTATTAACATGAATGTGTTTAGTTTTCACAACCACTCTTTCTAAACAAGGACACTGATGCTTAGAAGTTAGTAATTTGTTCAAGGTCAGCAACTATTAAGTAGCAGTCAGGATCTTAACTCTAGATTCCTATCACCCCATCCATATTTTCCCCCAATCCCCAACTTGCAGTCTAGTGCTCGCCATCATTATATCATTCTGCCTCCACAGAGCTGCTAAAAATCATTTCATTTAAATTGCCATAATGAAAAATCAAAGCCTTAAACATTAAATATACATGGATTCCAGATATATGTAAACAGACTAATTTTCAGTACAGAATTTTTTGTTTTGTTAATTCTTACTGTGAGGATATTTTTTCCATTGATTTTACTTTATTGTTTAGAGAGAGTTTGGAAAGGAGGGAGGGTGGGGAAGAGGAAGAGAGAGAGAGAGAGAGAGAGAGAGACAAAGATGTGCATGCAACCCAGGTACGAGCCCTTGACCAGGAATCAAGCCTGAGATCCTTCAGTGCACGGGCAGATGTCTATCCATTGAGCAACACCGGCCAGGGCAGTACGGAATTATTTTGTCAAGATCAAAGTCTAACTGTAAGTAAGTCTGAAAGTAACAGAATCAATCATTTTTTTTTTTAAGTTCTTTACCTCCCTTCCTAGTTTATATACACTTTACCTGGAAGACATGTTGAATAACTGTAGTAATTTGTATCTCCTTCTGTAGCTTTTGTTGTAAGGTCTTTATCTTGTCTGAATTTTCCATACTGGCCAAAGCATCTTTCTGTTTGTTCTTTTCAGTCTGTATTTCTAAAAATTTACTTTCTGAAGCTCGTTTTAATTCTGTGAGGTTAAAAATAAAACAAAATACTATATATGACAACGCCTACAAAAGAGAATCTTTAAAAATTATGGTTATTTCAGTAAAGAAAATTTTTTTAATAAGGAGCATTTTAGGTTGCAGTCTATTTTGATCTGAATATGACTTCCCTGGTATAAAATACCAATATTTTAATTTTATATTTAGCAATGCAAATGTTCAAGGTTTGTATGTATGATAATAGCTGTTGACAAGTGTTTGAAGTGACATTGTGTCAAAGAGGAGCTACTCTGGGTACCAAAACAGGCA